AAACTAAACACACCAAGCATGTTGGACAAGCGTTGGAACGAAAATTTAATAACATTGACATTATTGTTATAATAATTTGTCATAATAGCTTTTATTATTTTTATTTTATAATGGATCATGCCGAAATCACAAAATTAACCGAATCGGCCAAACAATCACTCGGCTAATTTTTATCAGGTGTTTCAGGAATTATGATAATAGCTGTAATTTTATATTTGAACTGGTAATGAAAGATTCAAACGAAGAAATATTTATTAAAGATTTAACTTTGAACTTCTTTTTCAAGCCAACTTTTTAAACATAAGCTTGCACGTAGTGTTGACGGTTTTAACCTATTTCTTCTTTTACTGAGAGTGTTGCTAGCAACACTAAAAGCCTGTTCACAACTTACACTAGTAGCCTGTAAGGCTAAATAATCTCTTGCCATTAAACTTAATATAGAGAATTCATTATGATACGATCACTAAGTTAATGGTTCAATTCCAAGATCTGCAGATAACCTCAAATATCGATCTAATTCATTATTCTGTAAACTAAGTGAACGTTCGGTTGCATAATGTTTGTGATTGTTAAGATGAGCAAAATATACATGTAGATTTTGTGGCATTTCAGAAAATGTTGAAGTAATAGTCGGAATAACATTATTATTATGTTGAAGATAAGTATAAAAGATGGTTTGAATTGTATTAATAGCATTAATCCATTCTTCACCTTCAAAATCTGACAAATTATATCTAGGATCTAGAATAGTTGAAATGGTACATTGATTATCCATCAATTTCCAATATGATTCAAATTTTTGAAAAATAGATGCGGTCATTTCAGATTCTTTAAACCCATCTTTACCAATATAATTGTCAAGATGGGTTTAATTGCTAAAAAAACATGGCGGACCAATCCCATTGTAGGATATGATGAAGTAGAAAGGAGTTTTGTTGCCTTTTCCATCAGATCTAGTAAGGTTAAAGTATCATCAATATGTTGCAATTCTTCCAAATTTGAAAAAATTTCAGCTAATTCACTGTGGTTTATAATCAACATTTTTAAAATATTTTTAATTTTTTTAAATTTATTAAGCATATAGAATGTACTATTCCAACGCGTTTCTACATCAATTTTAGGAGCTAAATAGGTAATATTTTTTATATTGCACAATAACCAAAGTTCATCACATAATACTATTGAATTTTTAATTTTTAACATTAAATTTCGTACTTTATTAATTGATGTGTCAATTAATTGCAACCCTTGCTTTACAGCTAGATTGATTACATGTGCCGCACAACGATAATGAGCAAATTTATTATTATAAAATTCTTCAATTAATTGTTCACCTAACTCTCTGCCTAGAGCAATCATAGCAGATTCGTTATTAGTCGTCAGTCCAATGATTTTTTCATTAAAAGAAAATTCATTAAGCAGATGTGTAAATTGACTTACAAGGTTCTGCGCAGTATGACGCTTATTGAGTGGAATTATATCTAACAAACAATGCTCGAGCTTTCATTCTCTATTTAAAAATGAATTGTGATACCCATAAATGCTTCATTATTAAAATTTGACCACAAATCAAGAGTAAAAGCTATTTTACTCTGTATATTTTTTAAGTCATTTTAATTTGTATTTGATGCAATTCGAATTCTGACATTATCATATTTTTAATTTTTGTTTGATTAGGAACTTTATATCGTGGATCTAATTTATGTACAAATTTTCTAAAATGTACATTGGTTACTACTGAAAATGGTTGCTAATGACATATGATCCATACTAATAAACATAAATTTTGTTTTTTCTGATTGTTTTGACTATGTGAATATGGTTGTGCAAATTGCAATTTTAATTGGTATAGTTTACCTACATTAATATCATGCTTTTGTAGCAAATGTCTTCACAATGTGGTAGTTGAAAATTTTTTTGTAAATTTTGATTACATAATAAACAATGTGGAATATCATTATTCTTTTTAAAATAAATCCACACGGGAGACAATTGTGATGTATCATATGAGTCTATAAGACTTACAGAGTCATTAGGCATAATACTGCTGGATGAAGTTGAATTATCTTGAGCTTTATTAGTTGACATGTCATCTATATCACTTAGGCCATATAATTCATTTGTATTATTTTCTAGTTCAGTTGTGTTTATGTACTCTATTTATTTAAGAAAAGTTTGAATTGTTTAAGAATTAATATTGAGAGTGGACATGAATATACAAAGTTCATATACCCACCTTATTTATATTAATTTCGAATTTTTTTTTCTTTATATTTTTGGCATATCTAATCTTTTTTTTTTCTATGAAAGTACAGTTTAGCATATTAAAATCGGCATTCATCATATAATCTAGCTAAGTACAATGATTTATTATAACATGAATACTTTTTCAATAAATTTATAATTGTCTAGTGTAAGTAATATATTAGTACAATTCTAATACATATAATCAAAATTCTTATTTATTAAAGTATAATTTACCTTTCAATATTTATACCCATTGGAGTACATAGCGGGACAAGATCTAATACAACTAATCTCCTATTTTTTGAAATATATTTATTGTGATTTAAGCAATATACGTATTAGGGTTAGACTTTAATATAGCCAAAATTCTTTCAATTCACCAAAGTAAATCCGATTCAATATTTAAATCAGGGCTAAAACGACCTATATTAAAATAATAGCCATTTATTAAAGCATCTTTTTGATGTATCAATTGCAAACAACTACTGTAGAAATAATAAGAACTCGGATTTTACTACTAATATGAACCAAAATAACTTTGCAAATGGTCACTATTAATATAGGTAAGTTTAGCCTTGATTTAGACCCATTAATTTATAACAAAAAATATATAAATATAAATAAAAATAAAAAAGGAGTTTAATATCACTTGCCTTTTTCAAGCAATTTGGCTGATCGCCTATTTATTATTTAATATTTATTTATTAATGCATAATTATGATAATAAAAAATTATAATTCTACCTAGGCCAAATTCCAATATGACCAAGGCGCCTATATAATTAACATAACTGTAATATAGGATAATTATATGTAATAAAATAAAGATTACAATATTACATACTATGTAATGCTCTCTAAAATACAATATTCATTCTTGCCCAAATACAAATGTATGTGTGAAATATATACGTATTTAAATAAAACTCTAATTGATAAATAGTCTCTATTTTTAGTCAATTAAATAATAAGATATACAATTTAACTTTATTTGAAATATTTGTCCCGTAATAAACTTGTAACTTACTTGATAATTATTAAGATTAGTTAGTTAGTTAAGGCTTTGTAGTACTCATACAGTGTTAACTTAGAGCTTAGATCTGTTATCCGTTAGATGCTAATATAATAGTAAAAATTAATTTTAATAGATAACATAAGAGGCTATATAATGAAATAGAAATTCCGTGCTTAGATGCAGTGCTTTTTTATGATGATTTTTCCGTATATATCTACAAACTAGTATAAATAGTAATACTGGTAAAATTAGGCTTTGAGTAGCAGAATTCAAATAGTATTAACTTATTATTCAACTTGCTATTCAAATTTATCACATGACTTCACAGACATAGATGTCCATAAAGTTATATAATACGTAGTGTTAAATAGCAAGTTAAATAGCAAACTAAAAACTGTTTGCATTATGCTATTCATTATAAAATTAACAATAACAATTACAAATTATATGATATATTAAATTAACCGGGTTTACCACAAAATTCTTAAAGACAGATTCCCGAAAAGACCTAATACCGACAAAGTTACATTAGTTATAATGCTGGTCTATTTAGTTGGTATTATTTTCTTTCGGGAAAATGGTTTTCAGAATTTTGTGGTAAACCCAAATTAATAATTTAGTTCAAATCTATATTTAAAATTAGCCTTTTCTAGAACATGAAGAAAGCATATGACTCAGTAAACCTCGAAATGTTGCAAAAAGCCCTTGAGAGAATCAAAGTCCTGCAGATTATATGTTGTTTTATCCTAAACCTGTTCAGAGACAGAAAGCTCAGAATAATTACAAATTTTGGCCTCACTGAAGAGATTACTGCTAAGGATAGTATAGATCAAGGGGAGGTTATTTCTCCCTTGGTCTGGAGAATCTTTTACAATCCTTTGCTTAACAAGATACAAAAAAACGAAGAACTTGGATATACAGTCAGACCTCGATATAATCACCAGGTTGG